AAGGAGGGAGTGATTTCAGCCTATGTTGGGTGGGTATGTTGTTGTTGTTGTTGTTGTTGTTGTTGTTGTTGCGGTGACTGTTGTTTTGGTGCTGGTGGTGGTTTGTTGTGTGGATGTTGTTTAGGCCACATGTCCAAATAGACACCAGCTCGTCTGGCACGAAGGGTTTGCTGGACTATGAGTAGTCCGTAGTCAAACCAGCACAAGCCAGCATGCGCCAGTGGAAAGCAACCTGAGGAGTGTGCTGGCGCTGTCCTGCAGTTGGGGACCTCTCATTTTTTCTCTGTTTGCTCTTTATTTTTATCCAGAATTAATCTTGGGTCCCCCCCCAATTTTATCCAGGCCTGGAGCGAGGCTTTTTTGGCGTTGGGTTCTTTTTGCAGGCTGAAATCAGTCCTGCTGGAGTCAAGCCTGTCTTGGGTACCTCCCTTTCTATTCTTCCTTCTTTCTTTTTAGCCACTTCAGGGGGATCCAACCCCATAGTGAGTAGTAGACCGGGGATATTTAACCAACATTTGCCAGTGCTTCGGAAAATCTATTGTATGGAATACTTAGCTATATTGACCGTTAAAACCACCCATCCCATCCAGGCAAATCTTCCATACCGCCGCCCGCCAGGTCCTTTGTGGGCTCCTTTGTGTCCATGTCAACCAATGGATCGAGCCGCATGGAACAGTGCCAGCGGAGCTGCCAAGTGATGTGAACCGAGCCCAACGGTGCAGTGGCGCCGCTGGTGGTTCGGAAGGTCCGAACGCTCGACGTTCGGAAGGTCCGAACGACGCCAGCTGGCGGCGGATCGTTTCGCTGCGACATGGATGTACACGGATCATTCTTGGGGTTTGATTCACCTGGAGGTAGACGATGTTGGCAAATGAGCCAATGAGCCTCTAAAGAAGTAACTTTGTGAAGGGTAGGGCGTTGCTGGTGTATGCACCACAACATGCACAAGGCAACGATACTGAATGATACTGAATGATTGATTTCACATCAGATCAAAGGGAGCGAAGGGAGCAATTGGGCAGAAGCAAGAATCATCAAGAATCATTGAGTAACAAGGGAAGAGCTTGAAGACCTTCCCCCTTGACGCGAGGACCTTCTACAATACCCTTCCCCACATCAAGATAGCCATCATGTTTAGCTTGGGGGAGTGTAAACCCTTCTGCAACACAACGCAGCCACATGTTTCACCGCGGAGAAGCGTTCTCTCCGCCGCTCGCCGCTCGTCTTGCAAGACGACCAAAAGAGACGTGAAAAGTTTCCGCTGAGCACTGCAGCTGCGGTGGAGACGGAAGGATGAACTCAAGGAGCCGATTTGGCCAGCATTCATGTGGTTTTCCATGGTGTTCCATGAGCATCAACAGTTTTTTTTGTTCTGTGTTTTCAACAGGGCAGGTGACTCGGTGACCAGCGGATGGAACATAGGAACATATAGGAACCATCGGTCTTTTTATGTCTGTTTTGTGCCATGATTAGTGTCGATCCCATGATATCTAAGACCTCCTATTCCGACAAAGGCCCCACAAACGACCAGAACTATAAGGTCCCACTGAACCATCAAACAACCATTGAACACAACAAATAACAAACAAAACACCACGGATCAGTGCCTCCCAACCTTCGCGTTCGTGAAAAACGTCCAGTCCAGGACTCCCACGCGTTCGCGCCTCTCAGGCCCTGCATCAACTTTGGGGAGCGTTTACTCCAGGCTGTTGCCAGCGACACCGTCCAGCTGGTCAACAAGGCACCGGTCAAAACGGTCAGCATACCACCCGGTTAAAACAGCTCGGCTTCGTTCGCGACTCGGCAAGGAATTCTGTCAAAGTCGGGTTCGGGTGTATGTCAAGATAGTTGGGGTCATATATATATATATATAACTCAAGTTATATATCTTGAGTTAGTTGGGAGTTGAGTTAGTTATATAGTTAGTTAGTTGAGTTAGCTAGTTGGGACAAGATATGTCAAGATTACCCCCCTGGCGGACGATCCCACGGACCCTGAGCATATTTTTATTTCTTGGGAGCAACGATTTCCCGCACAACCCAGTGGTGTTGAGAGTCCATGTTGATCGCGGACAAGAACGACTTGCAGCTGAAAGGTCGGTGTTTCTATTTTGTGCAACCGCGAGGAGTCACAAGATTTCAAGGTCAGTGTGTGGAACTCTTAATTGCGTGTGTGGCAGTATGTTCTCACTGAAAGACCATTAAATACTGGAAATATATACCAAGAACCTGCGGATATCTGCGGATACACCCCACATACAGGTACCCTGGTTTCCATGCCATCTTCAAACCACTTGGATGGATAACAGTGGTTTATGTGTTTAACCCAAAACCAGTGGGCCAAAATGATTGGAATTCTGTTGCGAAAGCCATGTCGCATTGTGTGGCTGTTTTGGCTGGGAACAGGCTTAGCCCAAAATTGCATAGCGGATTGAGTGGCTGCCCCTCGGGCCCACGAATTCCCGGAGGTTCCAGACTCTCGCATGATGTCATGGTTTTGCTCTAAGTCGATGAACAGAACAGAGCTCATGTTGTGCCCCGTGTTGGATAAGAAGAGTGACCAGGACACTTCAGTGTTCTGCAGTGTCCTGGACTGCAATGCATAGGTTTTTTCCCCAGGACCTCTTGAGTTGATTGGTTGGACTGGACTGCCGCCATGGCCTGGACTTCCGTCACCTGGACTGCATGGCCTGGACTGCCGCATGCGCCACTGGGCTAAACGGATCGCTGGGAGCAAGGGGCTGCCGATTTCACCGTTCGTGGAAGAGGTCGAGAGATGTCGAGAGAGGTGAAATCGTGGAACCTCAACGGGAGAACACCTATGCCTATGATTGCCTATGCCTATGAGCACTATCCAACACCCCAAACATCCACAGAGAATGAATCCTTGGACTTGTCTGTCACTCATCCTCACTTGGTGACTCCGGTATTTGGCATGGCCTCGCGTATACGCCTCGCTTAGTATGCTCGGCCAGGACATGGAGCCTGGGCCTCGCCACACTCCTGGCGCCCTGCCGACGCGATCGTGGATGCCGGGGACGTGGGCACGGAGGGGTCCTGCGTTCGGTGCGATGAAGTGTTTGGGAGGAGTTGAAGGATTTGGAAAGATCGCCTTTTTTCATCGCAAAGGGTCCTTCGAAAGAAGAGGTGTCCAACTGTCGCTTCTTTGCAAGACATTTCATAATAGCTTCTTGCTAGTATTATTAAGTAATGCACTTGTTACTATTATAGTACTAATGCAACCTGGAATCTCCCAGCATCGGCGATCCAAAACCTTTGCCAGGTGCAGCACGCGAGTTGCGCGGTGCGTCACTTGACCCCCACCTGCGCCGCCACCTGGGGAGAGGTCCAGGACGGGTGTTTTTGAGCTCCGTGTCGGGTTTGCGGGGTTCGGAGGAGTGATCAGGAGCGATCATGGCAGTAATGTCCTCTATATATATGCTGTGGCGTCCCCGTAACTAAAGGTGAACCCCCTTAATTCGATGTCGCTCCGCAGCTCCGGCTCAACTTATGTGGGGGCACACACCGCATTGTCGGTGTGGTGTGTGTTCCACACTGCGGCGAGTCTGCCATCATATAGCAGACTTCTCGCCGAAGCCGGGGTACATCCCTTTTGCTGCTGACCGGCTTCGAGTTCTTGCTGGTGAGCTGTGTGATTGGGGCGACAGCTACTTTGCATCGGGGGCGGCACACCCCGGTGCAGTGGTTGCTCCTCAGGCGGGGCCTGGAAGGGAGGAAGGCAGGAGCAAAAAGGATCCCGCAGATCCACCGACAGAAAGGAAAGAGCAGGCATCTGGAGGCATCGCAAGTGGCAAAGGTGAGGAGGTCAAGGAAAGAAAAGGGACCCGTCGTGAACGTGACAGTGGAGCACATCGTGGACAGGCAGAGAAAGGTGCCGTCAACGTCAAAGAGGAACCCAGTGAGGACAGTGCATTCAACTCAGAGGAAAAGGGCCTTCGTACAACAGCCTCCAAGAGCTTTGCACGGCCTGCTCCTTTAGGAAAGCGGGTTGAGAAAGGAGGAGAAGGTCCAGCCCAGGAGATCAGTGAAGAGGAGGTCGCAACCGAGCCCGAGACAGAGGAGGTGGTTGGGAGCGAAAGGGAGAGGAAGAAGCCCATCTCTCCTCGCTCACCGTCAGTCAGAGACAAGAAAAGATCAAGGAGAACAAGATCTCGATCCAGAAGGAGAAGGCGAAGGGAAGACAGTGGCAGAGATCGGGTTGAGAGAAGCCCGGAACATTATCAAGAGGAGGTCGAACGTGCACGAGACGGCCACTCTTCCTCTGCTCACCCAGAAGCTCATCCAAGGCCTACTCGAAGGCCTAGTACGTCTTTGCCAAGGAGGCCAAGAAGCCCCAACTTTCCCCCTCCTGCAAAGGGTAAAGGTCGAGGTCGTGGGTGGCACGGTTATCCTCCTCGACAAGAGTGGACAAACAAAGGGGTGAAAAAGGTTGGGCGGCAATTGGAATTCAAGGAGTACCTCGCCTACAAAAAGTACAGGTGAGGAGGGGGTGCATGGCCCCTAAGAGAAGGCCAGCTGCCGCTGGTGAGGCGGGAGGAGACAGGAGGAGAGTTAGAGTGAGGCCAGCTGCAGTCGTTCCTCCCGCTCCTGCA